TGGCAGACTTCCTCGTTGAACTGACCGGTCTAGAGCCCGAAGCCGGACCCTCCCATACGGTCGAACCGTGGTGGGACATGGCCGTTGATGGAGCCTCTGGACCGAAGGGATGCGGGGCCGGCGTAGTCTTCACTACCCCGGAAGGATTCAAGATCTACCATGCCTTGATCTTCAACTTCAAACTCACCAACAATGAGGCAGAGTATGAGGCGTTGGCCGGTGGCCTCAGATTAGTCGGACACTCGGAATAAAAAGGATGAAGATCCGTTCCGATTCGAGTCTAGTGGTTGGACAGGTCAATGGTGAGATGGAAGTAAAAGAGGATCGGCTGGCCCGGAATAGTGATCTGGTCCGAGCGCTTCTAAGGGAATTGGAAGAGTTTCGTCTGACTAGGATACCCCGGTCGGAAAACGCTGATGCAGATATGCTTTCAAAATTAACACAAGCCTGCCCGGAGCATGTGTCGAAGTTGGAGAAAATTGAGATCATGGACGTGCCGAGTACAGACCGGTTTGAAATCGCGGCTATCCAACCGGGCCAGAATTCGGCTACCGGGACAATCGGAGCAGATGATGACTGGAGGCACGATCTCATGCAATATTTGGAGACCGGTCAGAAACCGGATGACGAGGAACGGGCCAGGAAGGTGATCCTGCGGGCTCCCCGTTTTCAGGTAATCGATGGTCACTTGTACAAATGTGCCATCGGTGGACCTCTCTTACGTTGCCTTACCAACCCAGAGGCTGAACGGGTAATAGCTGAGGTGCATGAGGGAGTTTGTGCGGCCCATCAAATGTCTTGCACCCTGGCCCAAAGGATAATATTGCTTGACTACTACTGGCCGACCATTGTGGGGGATTGTGAGCGGTATGTCCAGAGATGTAGGACGTGCCAAGTATTTTACAAACATCCCGGCAGACCGGCCACATACTACCAACCGACGTCTAATGTCATACCATTTGCCCGGTTTGGGATTGACATTATTGGAGCCTTCCCGGTCGCCCAAGGCGGGAAGAAGTTCGTGATGGTGGCTATTGATTACTTCACTAAATGGGTCGAGGCCGAGGCAATGGCTACCATAACCGTGCGGCAGTGTGAGAAATTTGTTTGGAAAAACATTATCACCCGGTTTGGTGCCC